GTGCCGCCTCCTGGGGCCTTTGGACGTATGCAAGGTCATGGCATACTGTCTCTACTGGAAAGTACCGCAGGCGGATAGTAGGCAAGGACCAGGGTTGCTGAATGTCCTGTAGTGAACGGGATGATCCTGCACACAATGAACTGAGCTGTTCAAAATGACGGGCGCCCTGAGCCGGGAAGCACTGCAAACCTAAGACATAAAGCCAACCTTATCATTCCTCTGCCAAGAAGCCTCAGCCTGTCTGCGCTGCAGGTGGACGTCTCTACTCTGGTGGCCTTCAGGGCCCCAGCTTACCTGTTCAGCCTGACTCACGGTTGCATCCTTACACAGCCAGGCTCTACCCACACAAGATTCGGTGTTTGTCTGAAATTCCCTACTTCTTGGCTTTGCTTAGATGCCCTGATTTCATTTCCCTTCCCCTCTCATTGCTTTTTAGCCCCTAGACATATTTCCCCCTTGTTAAATGACAGAAAGTGTCCTGAACTCTAAAACCCATCTAGGAGACAAAGCCAAAATCTACCTCCTTTCACACTATTCTCAAATTCCCCAGTATGGAGATTAAGCTCTTCTCTTTTTCTGCTTATACTGCCTAAATAGACTCTTCATACATTCCTCTTAATGTTTATTACCATCTGCCTTTTACAATAATTATCTGTGTAAGAGAGACTACATGCCAAAGAAGAGCTTCAGACTTGGGAAGCGAGTTCCTTGGCTTCTCTAATCCACACTTCCACAAAATGTGTGTAACAAATCCTGTTTGTGCCACAGGTTACTAGGAAATTTAATTGAGGAAACACTTGTAGAAACATGTTTTAACCTGCAAAGTGATAGGATAATGATGGTGTCTCCTCCACAAGGCTCTTGTCTGCCTGAGAACACTCTGGTCCCGCGTCTTAGACATCTGTGCACCTCTCACAACTCCTGGCTCATAGTTGACATCGATTAATTCTGTGGAATTGTGTAACAAAGATATGAGCAATAGAGCGTCTTTCTTTTGTAAGAGTCGAGACAGAAAATGCAGGGGAAGTAAATGAAGCCAGTTCTCCTAGTTATTTGATGAGTGTTTGTATGGCCAGACATGCAACTCTTGACTAAGGTAGAATGTCCCTTTCAGATTGACATAGGGGTCTGTTGAGTACCCAGAATTATGTTTTGGTGTTCAGGCTGCATATATGGTCAGGTCATTCCATACACATGCTAACCTTGCTCCTGCAGTAGCCAGCATGCCCAGACTGGATAACCAACCTGTCTTATTCCGTAGTTATGTAATTACAGGCCTTATCAAGTATGTCCTGGCTTGTAGATGCTAGACACGTGACAACCTAAGCATGGGACAGATGCCTCAGGACCTTCCCTGGAGACAAGTGAGGAAACAAGAGAATTTAACCTCTGAGAGTACAAAAATTGGAGTCCAGTGAACATTTAGTGACTGCCAGGCACCATGAAAAATATGCAACTGGAAGACCTTGAACTTTAGAGAATTTTAGTATAGTAGGAAAGTATTCAGAACACTGAAAAACTCTTTGCTTACTGTGTGTGTAATTGTGAATATTTGATTTGTCTTCAAATAGGAATTATTATATTTTAACTTGAGGCATGTGACTTTTAGTAGTTGTTCATGGAGCAGTCAAGCACATTTCAGAAAATTTGAAGAGATTTAGCAATTGGAACAATCACATTCTCAATGTTATTAATATTTTTTTTAGCAGGGTAGTCATACCGTACAGTGAACAGTAACTTCTGTATGGCACATTCCAATGCTCTGTATGTCCTGAAAGGAAAATGTGCTGTTTGGGTGGAGAACTTTGGTAAAAGGAAATACCTACTTGAGCCCTGGTGTTTGCTGAGATTCTTAGTTTGTTTAAAAGGCCCGTTGAGTTTGTTGGGTCCCCACCCCCACTCAGGCCAACACGTAGGCGCCTTAAATAAAAACAGACAAACACAGTTCAGTAGGATGCTTAAAATATGTGAGTGTATTATTGGTGGCTCTTTTCTCGTTCTTATTACATCTGAGTTCCAAACATAGCTGCCTAAATTGACTCTCTTCCTCGCCAGGCTTTGTTGATAACGCCTGCTGGACGTTGAAAATCCACTGTGTGAGACTTGTCATTTCAGTCCCATTAGCTTTGCATAGAGTTTGGGCTGTGCCTTCCTCTTCCAGAAGCCTTTGTTTGCTCAAAGAGAGCAGGAAAATGCCATTTGCCTTACTTTAGTATAGGATTGAAATACACGTGGTGAAGGTCTCACGGGGCCAGCTGCTGGCGAGGTTTTCAACCCAAATAGAGCAGAATGTTTGCTGCCTCTTTGAAAAATAAAGGCTCTGTGTTCTTTTACTGCGTGAAGGAAGCAGCTGCCAGGAGTTGGTCTTTGAGCAATAGTGGTACATAAATGAGCCCCTGACTCTTTTAGTTATGAAATCATGGGTTTGTCTTATTAAACATTGTCATAATGGACCTCAGTTAGAGTTTCAGAAGACAGGGGACATGGCTAATTTCTGTTCTGGGGTTCCGGATTATCCAGAGGAATAGAATGTTCTCTTATGCTGGGCACCAGTCAGGTCAATTTAAAATTGCCCCAATTTGTTGGAGCAGCTAGTTCAAAAAAGGTATAAGAAGACCAGGATACTTGAAGCTTAATGGCTTTAGTGGAGATTGAAGTGTGGCTTCAGTAATTATCCTTTTTGTTTGTTGAATGTTATCTAACTTGATCTGTTGTTATTTGCGGTGCTTAACAACTCTGAAACATGAGCAATGGAATTACGTAGAATTTTCCTTTTTGGGGGGCCACACCGCACAGTTTGTGGGCAGTGAAAGCATGAAGTCCTAACCACTGAACTGCCAAGGAATTCCCAGGATTACACTCCTCAATAGCCTTCCTTGTTGGGATGTTAATGTAAAAACTGACTTAGATATGGATTGCAAGTTATTTTCAAGGCAAAGAAAGTCAGTGGGGAAATTCCCTGGCAGCCCTGTGGTTATGACTCTGTGCTTTTACTGCAGGGGCCTGGGTTCAATCCTTAGTCAAGGAACTGAGATCCCTCAAACTGCATGGCACCATCAGAAAATAAAAAAAAAAGAAAGAAAGTAGTGGAAAGTGTGAAATCATGTTACCCTTCATATTCCATCGTAGCATGGTTGAGTTCTGGGAGTAATTAAGTATTTTGCAGGTGTGAGCCTGTTGACGATTAAACGGCATTTCATTTCTTCATATCTCTAGTTTCTTTAATTTTTTTGTTAATTTGAAAAGCCTGTAGCTCTGTTATTGTGCAGTGTTAGAGGTCAGATGTTTCGGATTTACTCCTTCCCTTGGCTGAGACTACAGGGTATAAGTGACTGAGCACATTGCTTTTATTTTCTCTTAACTCATCCAACTTTCAGATGTGGCTTCCCTAGTGTAGAGAGTCCTTAAAAGCCTATCAAGTGGGCTGTGTTTAGAAAAAGTAAAAAAGGAGGGTTATTCCCAGAGCGTTTGTGTATCACAAGAGGTGATTATAGCAGTAGCATTTCCCTTTTTCTGAGCTAGAGTCCAGAAGAGATTTTAAAACCAGTGGTGGACTAGACTGATCCGGACCTACCGATGGGCTGGGTGAGCACCAGAGCCCTGGTGCCCCATGGGCCGAGCCTCCGAATTTCTTTTCCCTTTCCACTTCCTTTTACATGATGCTTAACTGTTTTAGCCTAGTTTGACTTTGAGAGGTCTGGTTTTCCCACTGATATGCATGGAATGAATGAAAAGTGTTACTCTGCTCTTTTCCCTAAAACCCAGGATGGTGAATGCAGAGCTGTGAGGAGCGTGGCCATCTCTCCCACAGGATAGAGGCTGCATGCGCTCTCTGGGGAGAAGCGCGGGGGTGGAGCTGAGCTTCCACGTGTCTTGTCCAGGCCCTGGCTCTGGTCATCCTGGTGTTAGGGCAACAGCCCCTCTCTCAGCCATTGACTCTTGCCTTCAGGACAGTGTCCGCTGGTGAGGTGTATATAATCACCTAGTTAAACAGGCTTTTCTTAGAGACCTCGGTGCTTTTCGTGTACTTATTTAAAGTATGTGTTTACTTTTGGTTGTGCTGGGCCTCTGTTGCTGTGTGTGGGCTTCTCTTGTGGAGCAGGGCTCTGGGCGTGTGGGCTTAGTATCTGGGGCTCTCAGGCCCTGGATCTCGCAGGCTCCAGTAGTCGTGGTGCTGGGGCTGTAGTTGCCTGAGGCGTGTGGAATCTTCCCGGACCAGGGGTTGAACCCGTGTCTCCTGCATTGGCAGGCAGATTCCTATCCACTATACCACCAGGCAAGGCCGACCTTGGTGCTTTTCATGTGTTACTTCCTGCGCTGGTTTTCTATTCGGCACCGACCAGTCAGCTCGGTGGTTTTTGGATACACCTAGGAGCCTAATGACGTTCATGTTTTTTCTCTTGGTGGTTTGGGGAGCATACTACCTCTGAGATCCCCAAGCTATATTGGTTCCGCATGTGTGGTTACTTTGTGGCATTGATTAAAATTGTTTTCTGTCATTCTCTTTTATATAAAGTCTTGTTTATTGTTTTGTTTCTGCACATTTCACTTGAAAGCAGAAGCAATAAGAGGAGTGGTGGAGAGAAACAGGAAGACTGAGTCCTCTGTCAGCAGTGACTCTCTTCTTCCAGCCCGCGAGCGTAATGATGCAAATTCAGATTAACTATGGAGCTGCGCTGACATGTCACTCACTGAGCACTCTGAATCTAAATTCTCGTGTGCTCTTGCTAGAATTATGCTGTCTTATGTAATATCATTGTCAGCTTGCTTAGTGTGCTCAGAAATAACATTTCCATAGCTTTTCTCTGGTCCTTAGTTTAAAGGTTAATGTAGTGTTGATGAACTTGAAGACACAAGGGCTGGTTATGGAAAGGTTGGTACCTGGTAGCAGTTATGTTATATGTGAAATAATTGATCTTTAAAAGATATGGACTATAGTTAAGGTCCTAGAGTACCTTCAAAATTAGACACCAGTTGTTCATTAATTGTTTTCTTTCTAGGTGCGTGCTATTATGATGCTAATCAGTCTATGTATGTGTTTGGAGGCTGCACCCAGAGCAGTTGCAATGCTGCCTTCAATGACCTCTGGAGACTTGACCTAAATAGCAAAGAGTGGATCCGACCTTTGGCTTCAGGTAAGAGAGAAAATGCTGCTCTGTGCCCCCTTAAAGGGAAACTCCCCTTGCACGGAAACTCATGACCCTTTTGGTGTTGGTCTCAAGAACAGATTACTGGGGCCCCAGGTCCTTTGTCAAATCTGCTTGTAAACGCTAAAGAGCGACATGCTTGTGTAAGGTCTTTGTGTTTTCTCTAAATTATACTTTATCATTAGTATTGGAGCCATGCCAGGATTGCCGCACTGCTGTGTGAATTTGTCTGTGTGGTTTTCTCAAGTGCTCGTCCAGGTGTGATGTGCTCTTTGGTATGAAGGTGGAGTAGCAGCGGCGCAGTCATGAGAACTGCAGTTGACTGACAGAAGCTGTTGTCCCAGGGCTAAGATCTATGAATGTCTTTTGTTGTTGCCAGCTCAGGTATTTGGGCAGTGCATGAAACATGCCTCTGCTGGTTCCTCCTAACTACTCAGGAGTGTGGGAAGATTCCACAGTCGGTGCAGCCCCGCATCGTCCCACTGCGCCAAAATCTGGGCAGAAAGCCACCGGCTCATTTTCTCTTTTGACCTAACCTTTCTTGGGGAAGAAAAACACACACACACGATTGTTTCTGCACTGACAAAGTGGGGTGGCTTGAAAAGGCACAGTTAGATGCTCGGAGGGGCCCGGGTGATGGACGAATAGAGTCCGCTGAGTGTAAAGCATCCTGCTTGGTTTGTTGGTGAGCTTTTCCCGAACATTCTTCTTTTGGCCTTGCAGGGTTGCAGTTCATCGCACTTATTTAGGTCTTGTTTGCTTTGATCGCCAAATGGAAGGCAACCTGGTGTATTAGAAAGGGCACTGGACTAAGCATGAGGCGACAGGAGTTTCATTTCCTGGCAAAAATCACCAATTCTGCATGTAACTATGACTAAGTTACTGTATCTCTCTGGGAGAAGTATGCAGGTGCATCAGAAGATTCTGTTTTTAAGTGAATTGAGAAAGCTGCTCTATGTTTCCCTTTATTTCTGTAATGACTGCTCTGAATGTCTAGGCCAGACGCTTAAAATCTTTTTATGAGAAGAAGCTGCATTTTGCTTTCCCAAAGCTGTAAGCCCCTGTTTCTTCCCTCTGCAGTAGACAATATAGGAGGGAAGCACATAGTGACTCTAGGTGCTCAAAGCTGGAACTGGGTTTTGAACACATGAAATTCTTTAAAATTATTGGAAAGATGAAAAAGTGTTAATCTTAAAAAATTTTTGAACATTAGGACTATTTTAGAGCCTTCAGAGCTTTGTACTCTGGAGCATTTCCTTTTCTAGCACTTTGTAACCCCTGTTGCACTTAACACAGCACTGATTAATACTTAGAATCATGGATTCTAAAATGCAGAGGGTTTTTTTAGCTTAAGCATCCTATTGCCATTGTACTTATTGTCCAGGCCCCATTTCAAAGTAGCTTTGATGTCCCAGTAACAAAATACCAATCCCGCCTTTCTCTGTTTCGTAACCAAGCTTTATGCCTTTGGGGCTCCCCTGGTGGCTCAGATGGTAAAGAATCTGCCTGCAGTGCAGGAGACCCGGGTTCACTCCCTGGGTCGGGAAGATTCCCTGGAGAACGGACTGGCTACCTAATCTAGTATTCTTGCCTGGAGGATCCCATGGGCAGAGGAGCTGGGGGGGCTACAGTCCATGGGGTTGCAAAGAGTCCAGTACGACTTGGGAAATGAATACTTTTATGCCTTTGGTAATTTGGCGTGGGTGTTGCTCTTTCTTGTAGGTGTGGAGTTTTGGACCTTCATAGCCTATCGGCATCTACTTTGTTTATTTTTCCTTATTTTTCTTTACAAGATAGACATGGCATTTTTGTTGTTGTTAACTACTAAGTTTAAAGACTATACTTTGAAATCCCCAAGGTAGAAGTATCAGAGAAATACCTGTCTTTATAATGCAGATTTTATAACTGATCTGAATTTTTTAAAAAAATACAGTGTTGGACTGTTCCCTTTTATAAAACATCTTGGCTCCTGAAAGTTTAAAAGTACTTTTCTAACAGAATATCTCAAAGAGATTTAGTTTCTGCATCACTCTGATCTACAATTAGAGGCTAGTTTTGGGGGGGAGGTGGTGAAGACTGAGCTTTTTGAAATGTCTAGTTTAAATTAAAAAACAAAACAAAACAGTAGTTTAAGAGTCCTATGAGATTCTCAGCTTCCCAGGTGGCACCGTGGTAAAGAATCAGCCTGCCAGTGCAGGAGATGCAGGAGATGTGGGTTCGATCCCTGGGTTGGGAAGATCCTCTGGAGGAAGAAATCGCAACCCACTCCAGTATTCTTGTCTGGAGAACCCCATGGACAGAGGAGCCTGGCCGGCTACTGTCCACGGGGTCAGAGAGTCAGACAGGGCTGAGTGCACTCACACAGAAGCATATGAGATTCTCATTTAGGCAGAAATCCCATGGGAAGATTGCCTGAGGCAACCAAACATCAGTGATTCTTTCTGAATAAAAGACAGTTGTTGGTATGTCTTAGTGTCCCTGACTCACCCATTTGAGCACTTGGAGGTGGGTAGGTCGGATGGTGCCCAAGGGGAGGGTGCTGCCTACTGCCCTTTGGTACCAGATGCGAAGTCTTCCAGCGTCTGAGTATCTGTAGATGAAGGGTGTCTAGAGTGATGGTTTTAGCCATGTTCAGTCTTCAAGTGTAGCTCTTTGGAAAAGAGCATCAGGCAGACAGTGGAGCAGTGTGGGTTGGGAGCAGAGTCTTGACACGGAACACCGCTGTCTCAGGCGTCTTCACCTGTGGTGATGTTGCGCGTGAGACTGGAGCGTCTCAGTGTGGTTGGTGTCCTGGCACAGGCTGCCGTAACAAAACACCGTAGTCTGGGGGGCTTCAACCCCAGAAACTTACTTCTCACATTCTGGAGGCTAGGAGTCCGAGATCCGGGTGCTGGTGAAGGCTCTTTTCCTGGCTGTCAGAGAACCAGGCAGCTTGCTCTGTGTCCACGTAGCAGAGAGTGAGTTCTGGTATCTCTTCCTTTTTTTATAAACCGAATTATCTCCCAAAGCTCTCATCTTCATATGCCATCACACTGAGATTCAGACTTCAGCATATGGATTTGGGGAGGACACAGTTCAGTCCATAGTAGTTGGAAATAATGTGTTTTGTCAACAAAACCTTGTCTTGCATTCTTTTGAAACGATAGGAAGAGGGAGCCTCCAGAGGGAGGGGGTGGTGATGTGTGCTGCAGTGATGAGGCCTGTGGCGCTTCTCCTCACTGCCATGAGGCACCGCCGCCTCCCTTTTACATGAGGGTAGGTGAGTCTTGCCTTCGTGGAGGGAAGAAACGGTAACCAGTCATAAAGGGAGTGAGGAATGGGATGTAAAATAAGAAAGGGAGACAGCCTTCTCTGCTGAGACATGAAAGATAGAGTGGAGGGAGGTGAAAGTGGCATGTATGAAGAACAGGACATATTGGAGGAGCTGAAAGCAGCCCTTGTGGATGCAGCGTGGTGAGCAGGGGGTGGCATGGCATAGACAGAGCTGAGGCGTAGATGGGAGCCAAGGGCATTGTGATCCTACATACATTTTAAAGAACACTGCTGCTGCTATTTAAGAAATGGACTAAAGGAAGGCAAGACGATGAAGCAGAGAGAACAGATAGGAGGCTATCAGAATAGCACTGGTGAGAGCATGTGATAGCTTGGACTAGAGTCACAGCAGTGGAGATGGAGAGAAGTGAACGAATCTGAGCTGAATTTTTGTTAAAATTGATGGGACTTCTTGATGGATTAGATATGGGAGGGTGAGAAGGGCAATCAAGGCTGACTTATGTACACTTACGTAGATAGTGGGGCCATTTGCTAAAATAGAAGAAATATTTGGAAGAGGTTTTTTTTTTTTTTTTAATCTCTTTAAACATTTAAGTGGTGGTATCAAGTAATTCATTGTTATGGGGAGTCTAGCATTTGAAATAGAGGGTTTGACTTGCCTTAAATGATGGCATAATCCTTTTGCTCAGTTAATTCTGCTGTAATTCTTCATTTTGTTCATGCAGCAAATATTTATGGATTGCTTACTCTGTGCCCAGTATTCCTTTAGATGCTGGGGATTCATGAGTGAATAAAACAGACAAAAATCCTACTCCTAATGGAGATTAAGGAGAAGGCAGTGGCACCCCACTGCAGTACTCTTGCCTGGAAAATCCCATGGATGGAGGAGCCTGGTAGGCTGCGGTCCATGGGGTCGCTAAGAGTCGGACACGACTGAGACTTCACTTTCACACATTGGAGAAGGAAATGGCAACCCACTCCACTGTTCTTGCCTGGAGAATCCCAGGGATGGGGGAGCCTGATGGGCTGTCGTCTATGGGATCACACAGAGTTGGACACGACTGAAGTGACTTAGCAGCAGCAGCAGCAACGGAGATTAAATTCAAATAAGGGAAAAGTGAAAGTGAAAGTCGCTCAGTCGTGTCTGACTTTACGACCCCCTGAACTGTGCATGGCATTTTCTAGGCCAGGATACTGGAGTGGGTTGCCTTTCCCTTCTCCAGGGGGTCTTCCCAATCCAGGGATCGAACCCAGGTCTCCCGCATTGCAGGCGGATTCTTTACCAGCTGAGCCACAAATAAGGGAAGACATGTTTAAAATGGCAAGTATGTAATATAGTAGAAGATGATTAATGCTCTTGAAACGAAACCATAGCATAGTAAAGGGGATGAGGAGCAGGGGAGACTCCCCCTGGGGATCAGGGTAGAGCTCATGGAGAAGGTGACTGCAGAGTGAAGACTTGGTGGGGACAGGGAGCGAACTGTGGTTATCTAAGGAAAGAACATTCCAAACAGGGAGTTACCAGTGCAAGGGTTCAGGAGTGGGGGTGTGCCTGGGACAGTCCAGGGATGATGAGGAGTCCTCTGTGACTACAGTGGAGTGTACAAAGGAGGATGTACTCAGAGATTAATGCAGGAGAGGGTGGCGTACGCACACGGCTTTCTGGCTGTTAGAAGAGCTCTGTGGCTTTGTCATATTCTTTCAGTGAGATGGCT